GATTTATAAGTGTAACTTCATTTCTAAACAAGCTCTGTTTATTTGAAAAAAAAAAAAAAAAAAGAACACCAGTGTTTCAGGAGAGCCTTGAGAAAGTGTTTAAGATATGCTTTCTGATTTGTCAGGTGTACCTTATTTATCCATTTTTCCTTCTTTTTACCTCCTGTGTCTCATTTTCACAGACTGCCCTAGGAGTATTTCATGGGGAAATCGGGTAAAGAGACACTGGATGAGTTTGGGTGGTAGGCACTGGCAAGTTATGGGAGAGGAAAAAGAAAGTTAAGGTAGCCACTCCAAACCATGGGTGTTTCTGATTATATTTTCTTCACCATCTGAAAAGAAATCTAGTATCTAGGAGTGTTTAGTGTCAAAAGCAAGTCAAGTTAAAAAAAAAAAAAAAAAAGAAAATAACCCAGAGGAACTGAAAATAGATATTTGTTTTGCAGGCAGAAACGAGGGTGGGTTTTGTGGATTCTTTGAACTGGCTGATTTTCAGCTCAATCTATTTATCTTGTGCTTGAAATGTCCTCATATCTTAAGACCTGTCCAGAGCTTCAGGCTGTCTTGTTTACTTCTGCTCTTGCCCTTCCCTGAAGGCAGATCAAAAAATAAATTAAACTTCCCTTAAAAAAAAAACCAAAATATTAAAGGGCATACTGCAAAAGCTGCTATGAACAGTTCTCATATGTTGAGTGTATGTTGGCAGAGAAAATGATGCCAGTTGCAATGGTAGGGCAGTTCTCTCCATTTTCTGTGGGTTTAAGCAAAAGTTTAGTATTTTTCATTTAATCCTTAGTAGCTTAGTACTAAAATATTACAAGAAAGCTTTGCTATCTTCCTTCATTGAGATGAAAGTGAAGACTGGTTGCTGATAATTTTCTGTGAGGCACTTGTCTTGTTGCTGGTAAACCTCCACAAGGGCTGAGTTAAGCAGAGCTGGGCTTCTAAGGAGAAAATCTTTGTTCCTTTGAGGCTCCTGGTTACGAATGATTTCTCCAGGTTGCCTGCAGCAGGGACTAGCACTGTCTGTGTAGAACCAGACTGTGATGGGGGCAGAGGGTGGGAAGAGGGAAAAATTAAGATGGAAACAGAAAAGGGACCTTATCTCTCAGAGGTGCATGGGTTAATAGAGGTAGCTATGAGGAAGAGTGCCATGGAGGTGATGTTAAGATATTCCTTATGAAAGGAAGCAAAGCTGAGTTTACATTTAAACACTCAAATTAACTTGTGTTTAAGAGAAGATTTAAGAGAAGAGAAGTTTTTACAGCTGCTTAAAGACCTTGGCCTTCATTACGTGTCATGGGCTCTAAAAGACAACGTTGGCAAGTTCTGTAACTTTCAATTTTTTATTGGTTTTAAATGTTCTTAGAATGAATTATGATTTATTGCTTAGCTTTCTTATGAGCACTGGAAATCACACAATGTGAGCAGTGTACAATTAGTTGTAAGGCAACGTAATGCCTGTGCTTATGCTGGGTTTGCATTCATTCTGGTAACAAAAAGCCAGAGTATCCAAAAGTGGGGAAGCAGCCTCCTGATTTCTTCTTGAGCCATGCCCAGAAATCAGATTCAAGTTGATATGATACTACGTAAGAATTGTTGTACACAACATGTTAAGCAAAGTATGTTCCAATTCAGCATCCTTGGGGGATGGGGAGGGTTTTGGAAATGGTATTAAATCTAAGATAAACAGCCATCTTATCTAAAAAGAAGGCTTAGAATACTTGAGATTCAGAATGACTGAAGAACTGGAGATAAGGTATTTATGCATTTCACTGTTTTTATGAAAAGTTACGACCGTTTCCAAGGCTCAGTTATTTAGAATAAGCTAAGGTCATGGTTGGAGCAACCAGCTGCAGAACAGACAGCTGGAAAATGACCTAGTGATTGTATGAGCATCCTTCCATATGTTTCTGATTTATAATCAGAATTTTTTAAAGCTGAAGACATTACATTTATTCTTTGCACTTCTGGAAAAGAAACAGACTACTTGTATTGGTTACCAAGTTTTAAATGAATAAAGTACATCTTAAAAAAACAAAAAAAAAACAAAAAAAAACCCATGCCCAATTGTAATCAGGAATCAAATTATTCCCAATACAAATGGTAACTGGAGTAATGCTACTGTCTGCTATTCACTCAATGCCCTGTACTGAAGATAAATTCTCTTTCACTTTTACGTACTTATCATCAGTTAAATTGCGAATTAAAAGCCAGCCTGCTTCAATTTATTAAAATGGCTTAGAATTACTAATCAAATGGAGGTGACTTTTTAATAACAGTATCACTGTTTTAGAGCCATTGCTATACATCTATGGAAATGCTAGAGATGAAGCTTCAAGGCTCACTGACCTTACAGGCATTTTAGTTTGATATTCCTGTCTTGTGCTCCTTGCATTATTCATAGCATCTCCTTTATTCACTTATGGTTAATCATCATATTTGTCTGCTTTGTGCTCTCGTGCATTTTAACAGAGGAAGGATAGTTATTTTTTTTTCTACTGATGTTAAATTTATGACATGAATTACAAGATCAAGGTATTTAATTTTCTTTTAAAGAGCCCAGATTGTTAGTAATGTAAATTTGGGATAAAACTTAAAGCATCATATGATGATTTTGTGTATTTGTCAAGTTCTATGACTTTAGGTCTTATATGCATTGATTGGTTAATTCTGAAAAGTTTATACACCTGTAATGGTACAGGAAAATGATTATGAAATCCTTAAAATCTTTTTTTTTTGTACATAACTTTTTAATTTAAAAAATAGTATGTTTTTATTTCATATAGGAAATTCCTATGTTTATTGCTTGCAGTGATCAAGTTGGGAAACAAAGAAGGAAATCGTTTCATGCTATAGGAGAAAATGGAAATGGAATATGTTAGAAGAAGTCAAAGAAGAAAGCTTGAAATGTGAACCATCTGTTGTCTATAAAGGGAGTTTCTGTCCTAATCCATCTAATTTATTATCATAATACTGAAGTAAATATCTCAAAAAGTAATCTTCATCAGTATTAAAACACAACAATCAAGAACAGAAAAAGGAAAAATAAGTTCCTGCTGTTCTGAGACTAAGGGAAGAAATGTGGACAGTGGGGTTGAAACTATTGTTACTTTATTTTTGCTTTTTTCATTATAGCTGTATCTTACAGTACAGACAGTGGAAAAATCAGTTTGTCAGTCATGTAGTTCTGAGAGCTTTGGTTTTGTAGTCAAAAGCTTAATTGTAACTGAATGTTTTCCAGACATCCATGAGATTTTCTCTATAGGCTTACATAGGTATCAGAATCTTAAATAGGTATTTTTATAGGTATTTATTAGAGCAGTGCTTTAATAAAGCCTTGCTAATAACCACGGATTGTGAACAGTGCTTAGCTTAGATTTCAAGAAAGTTCCATCCTTGTTTACGTAGGTAAGACTTGGAAAACACAGTTCTTCCGAATAGTTACCCCAAGTTGAAAGTAGAATTGGAATTCCATGCTTATCAGTTACTGTGTTTTCTGGTTGTGTTTCTGCTGGTATTTTAATTAGGATCAGGAGCACATTTGTGAAGTGAATCTTCTGATAAGGCCAAGTTACTGTATTTTGATTTGTATCACAGATCTCTTAAATGTACCTGAACTCGGTTCTTTTTGGATGTGGAATCCAGAAGATGTGTGTAGTTGGGGATGTACCTGATGGATTGTACTGCTCATGGATTTAATTAGTTGCTAGTGCTAGTCTGGAATAAACATCCTTTCCTTCAAAAACCGAGGGTGGGCTTTGTGGCCTCATCACAAGTATTTTGTGTACAAATCCACTGCTAGTGCTTCACCTTAATTGCTCATGTGGACACAGTACTGGAGGCCAGATCAGGCTCTGTTTCTGTATTTGCTGACCCTTCTGCAAGCAAACGAATCGGACTGTTTGATACTTATTTAGTTCTCAGTTTAAGAATCTGTTTTCTTTTGAAAAGGCCTGTGCAATATCCTGAAAATAAATAACAGAGCAAACACCCAGGTAGCTGTAGGGGTCAGAACTCTACAGTGCACTTAATGTCTATGTGGGCAGCAGAATGGTGTCCAGTACAGGAGCTGGTGTTGATGTGGTACCGTCTGTTACTACTTTCAAGTCTTGCTCCTGAACAATGGGAGTCAGATCATGACATTTTTAGTTTTCATATGGAATTAGTGTTATCTTTTCCATGGATATCACTTTACACTTAATAATGTTGAATTTGCTTGCTTTTTTAGCATCCTGGAAATTGATAATTCTTCACTAGTTCTTAGCATTTTGTCATCATCTCATAGATCAGTCCAGTTAGTTTATTTTTTGCAAATATATTAAATAGTTTGCTGAACTCCTACCCGTGGACTCCCTCCATAATGAGAACTGACCATTTATTCTTAAGCTGTCTCTTATATTTTATTTGCTTTAATCTGTGCTATCACCTCTTAGTCTGTGGCAGCTTGGTTTTTCTCAGAATTGCTTCAGAGTTCGATGTAGACTGTTTGGAAGAGTTTTCATGTGAAATCCATATGAATCCATACAAATGAGTTTAATATAATAGTTAACATTTTAGAGCTGTATTACTGATGTATCTTTTAAACTTCAAGAAAAGTAAGCAATTAATTGCTAGAAGTTTGTCTTTAATGGAACTTCAAAAAACATAGCTAAGCAGACAGTTTCTGATCTTGTGTGTGTGTGTATATATATAATACAACTACTATAACTGAATAGTGGTTTTTTTAAGGCTGAAGAAGTCTTCAAAAAAGTGTCTTAATTTTGACTGTGCGTTCTTCACTTAAAAGCTGAAAGAAATGAAGATCTACAGTTAATATACTACGTGTTTTTGTTAATAAAACTATAAAAGCTACAGACACTTATGTTTAAATTTGTGTATGTAATATCCATGAAGTTTTTGAAGAGTTTAAATATAAAGAATATATTTATATGTTCCTATGTGAAGCTAGAGTGTATAAATGTTAATTGATTTTTTTTTTTTTTTTTAACAAAAAGAAGATACATTCTGAAAAGCTGAAGCTAGACGTTTACGTTTACCATATCTTCATGGTCACTACACACGTGAAAGGAAAAAAATGTGGGGGCAGAGGAAAGAAAGAAGATTGAGTTAGTTCACATAAGTATCCAAGTTGCCTATGATATAATACATTTTGTATGCATAGATTTCTCAAAGAATTTGTTCTTAAGGATGTGGTTATATACGTGTGCTTATGAGGCCTTAATTTCAGTTTAGAAATACAGACGCATGATTAAGGTTTTTCAGTTTGTTAGCATGTTATTTGTTGCATTAGAAAACAAAATATACTAAGAAGGGCTTCAAAAAGTATCTGATACTGTAAGAAAGCTAAAACTTTTTAGAAATTCTTGTACAAATTTGCTCATTTCTATAATGCACTTTTTTAGTTTCCCTAAACTTAAAGTGTAATATAAACGTGGCAGTGTGATGTGTGGCTTATTGCACTTGTGTTCTTCAGTGAAGTGCTGAAAAAATGAGGAATTTAATTAAACTGAAGGCTTATGTGCTTTGTGTGCTTACCTTGTAGTAACTTGAATCTCTTTAGGTATAAGACATAACAAAATGCTTTCCATAGCTCAGACAATGTATGCTACTTTTCTTTGGATTACTTGAAGCAATTTTTGCTCAACTTTGAAGCAGGGGGTGCAGCTTATTGGTATTGGTTACACTGAAGGGTAGTCTAAATTGTTAATAAAGCCTGGAATGCCACTATGTGTGCCTGCTCTAGTGATGTGCAACTCTAATTAAAGCATTACATTTTTAATTCCTTCTGAACTAAAATAGTACTTCTGTTTTACCTATGCTTTAGTCTCATGGTTCGGAGTTGTGTTAATGCACATCATTAAAACCTTTGAAAAGTCATTCATTGCCTTCATGTCTAATCAACTAAAATCTTTTTGAAAGACTTGTGATAGCTGAAGCACAGGTTGAGAAGTAAAGAATACATCTCGGCACGACACTGCACAGACAATAGATTAAGATCTGAAACCCAAATGTTTGATTTTCCTTTTCAGTTAGATAGTGAATGAATCAACATCTGTATTTGAGGAAGATGTGCAACAACATTGTGATCTTTTGTGATCTTGCTCTCAAATGTTTTTCTCTTGTATGTCTATTTTCTACTGTTTTCTTACTACTTCCAGTAGTTGAACATCTAGCTGGACAGATTTTTGATGTTGTCCACATATTCCTGTTGAGCATGACATCATCTGTGCTATAAACATTTGGCAAGTTGAATCACTTTAGAACATGGAAGGTCAATTTTCTACTGCTTAGGCTGCCAACCCACAAGTAAGTCCATCATCAGTATATCATACTGCTACATTGACATGAGTATTCTTGCTGTTAGTATTATATTTTTTTCTGCATTGCTAATGGCATATTTATATGCACTAAAATTCTATCTCCGCTTTATAGATTATAGCTTAAAGATCCCGAAATATTTAACTCTGTTCTAAAATGGGCACGAATACTCCATAAGTAAGGAAAAATTTCTATATGTACTCATTAACAATGATTATTTCACCAAAAGTGAGGAAAAAAATAATTGTTTTCTGCTTCGTGCTCTTCCTCAGTTTCTTGATCCTGTGTTTCATGATCATCTTCTATTTCATCGTATTCTTCTGGTGTTAAAAGTCGTCGAAACACTGCTGTTCTGATTTGTGTTGACTTGTTGGCATTACTGTTTTGTTCTCCATAGTAAATGGTTCTAATATGAGGGAAGCAAAAGAAGGCATATGTGCTTATTGGAGCTGTTAGCTTATTTTGGTCCACCCGTATATAGGTTAACTGGTTGATGTTCATTGGATCAATAGATGGACACATCAAAGTAACATTTATCACTGTAAGAGAGAAAAATATTAGTTAAAATACAGAAAATAAGGTTATATTTAACAAGTATTTCATAATTGAAACAAATTTTGGAATTTAAAATGGAAAATTTGTGATGCATCATATTATAGTAGCCTTTCCTCTGTTTTAAACCAGTTTCATACATGACAATTACAACAGTTCTAGAATTTGCAAAATATAAGATTGTGGGGTAAAATGTATACATATGCGTGTGGCTGCAACTACAATCTTAATTACTCTTTTATATGAATTGCATATTTTTCAATTCTTATGTGATTTTTTTCCAGTTGTTTTATCAAAAGAAAGTTTCAAAGTGACTTTAGGAATTAAATGAAAAAAAATGCAGAACATTTACAGAACATCCACTTGAAAATTATGGCAAAATAGAAAAAATCCTTTCTAGTTTGCCTTTGTTTCTTCTCAGCTAACCAAGGATACATTTACATTCTGTCTTGAAGAAGATGGAACGGTACCTTCCCTGTGCCGTAAGTTAAAAGCTACATAGCACTTATTTCTGAGAGAGATGTTGTGTATGAACTTTGGGTCAATGCCACATTAACTGGTTAGTCCAGAACATCAACAGCTCAATCTCATGTGTCTGCAAAGAGGGGTATCATAATACTTCTAGAACAACATGCAAATTTGGATGACTCCTGGATTGTAAGCTTGGATTCTATGCAACCTGTCAGCTGTTAGGTGACAGATCTTCATAATCAGTGACAAATAAGTGTTTCTGCTAGTTTTTGATTTAGGCTAAGTGATTAACTCTAGATGGTAAAGAAAAGGCTCATTCCATCCTCTGCTCCTGACAACCAACTCCAAATCCCATTTCTACATTTTTCTGCTTTTCAAGAGTGAAGAGCTATCAACATACTTTCAATGTCATTGTCTTCAATGTACAAATGCTGCAGACTTCTTGGAACATAGAATACTTGTTTCAATTTGTTATGTCCAAGGTTAAGTTCTAAAAGGTTTTGGAGATTAATAAAGGTGTTGCGTGGAATGTTCTGCAGGTTATTGTGAGACATTCTTAGGGCAATGATCTTGGGGAGTTTGCTGAAATAGTTTTCTGGAATATAAGAAATGGAGTTATTTTCAAGAGAGAGATACATAAGTGACGACGGCAGGCTAGGAGGCATGGTCTGTAATTTGTTGTTGCATAAGTTCAGCTGCATTAAGTTGTTCATGACTGAAAAGTGATTTCCTTTGAGTGCTGAATCGTCAAGAAAATTATTGCAGAGGTCAAGCATGGTTATGTTTGGTAATCCATCCAGTGCAATTCCAGGTAACTGGGAAATCTTATTGAAGCCAAGGAGGAGTCTCTCCAGAGAGCTGGGAAGTGGGAAAGGAAATTGATCTAATTCGTTATGCTGTAAATGAAGCTGCACTAAGTTTGACAATTTGGCAAAAACACCACGATCGATCAGATGAGATTTAATTTTGTTGAAGCTCAGATTAATTTCTCTTAAAATGGTAACGTTAGTGAATGGTCCTGCAGGTACAGCTTCAATATCATTGTTTTGCAGATAGAGTTGTTGGACGTGAGCAGGGATGTTTGGTATTGTTTTAAGCTTACGATGGTCACAGTACATAGATAGTGGAAATTCTGGTGGACAAAAGCATTCTCTGGCACACTCAACTGGAAAAGGAAAGTGAGGAACCTCAGCTTGTGCGCTTGGATTAGAGTTAAAATAATATGGATGTTGATGATCTGGCTCATCATATTCGTCCCCAAAATCGTAGTCTTCATATTGGCAAAATACAGCAGTGGTCCAGAGGAGGTAAATGATTGATAGCTGGCTCAGAATCCCCATATTTGAATTTGTACTTCTACCCTGTTGATGAGAAAGAAAATAGGATTCCCAGGTAGTCATAAGTGAAATCACATATGAATCTCTCAGTTTTGAGGAGAAGCAGTATAAAACTATTGTAAATACATTACATTATATACAGTAACACATTTTTTTCACAACCCTGTCAATGATACTACTAGCAGAAACATTTTCTAGTTGGGATCTTTCAAGAAACAGCCATAAGCAACTATACTGGCCTTGAAGTAAACTGAACTTTTGCTGTCTGAATTCTGGTTATGAAGAGCTTTCTACCTGTGCTGTCCCTGATACTGAAGTGCACTGTAAGAGCTGGGAGAAGTAGCAGAAAAATCTTCATTCCTTTCTCACCTATATGTGTTACAGACAAGTTGCAAAAGAACTGTATACATGAAATCATGTGCAATCTGGGTTGTTAGACATTGTAGTTGTTGCATTCTTTCCAGTATAATGTATTAAGCACCAGCCTAACGGATCAGTTTTGGATGGGTGCAGATAGAATCCTTATCAGATCGTATTCAACGTAAAAATAGATAAAAATTGATATTGTATTGGTGGTTGTGTGTTTTGTGGCATTTTGTGATATCCTTCTATTTTCTGCAATACATGTCTGTCTCACTGCAATGCACTAATAATAATTTTTAATTCTTATCACTGTATTTGATTTCAGTTATTGTGTACTGCATATCACATGATATCTTCACTGATAAGCAGTTTTCTTTGTAGAATTCCTATGCTTCAGTAATTGTAAGACCTTTCTAGACCTAATTTACCTTCATAATCACCTTCTAAGGTGAAATAGTGATATTGTGAAAGATAATTACTTGCAATCAATTTTGCCTGTCAAATTTCAGATGCTCAAAGCCAGACTAACACTTTAGAGTACTCTACAGTCAGAGGAACCCTATTATTTGGCAGAGTTGAGCTGTGAATCATGTCAAGCTGTACAAGTTAGACAACAGGTGAGTCAAAATGTAACACTGCTGATCAAAGCACAGATATTGCTGGAGATCTTGAGACTCTCTCAATATAGTGTGGGAACTATGATGCAGAGAAAAGCAAATACTCTCAGTTTTCTTATAATGCTATTCATGTTTCTTAATCATAGAACTCTTTTTCTTGGTTGTTCTTAGTAGTTTATCTTGTTTTACCAGGCCTAATCAAAGAGTAATGAAGGAGATGAGACTTGAAAACACTAATTTCGTGTGCCTCATGTTGCTGGCTGATTCCCATTGTGTGACATATTCTATGAATTTAAGGAGAAAGGGAGTCCTAAGAAAAGCAGTAACAAAACCATGGAATTGATCACGTTCTCTTAATGTTCCTGCATTATATACATAAGGTGTGCAGCAGTGGATAGCTGATATCAGTTATGGAATTGTCTAACTCAAATTTGATTTCTATCATTTGTATTGGAACGCTTATTTAATGAAGTTTTGATAATTCATTAAATACTTAAAAACAGGGTTGGGCAGAGTCGGTTGTTAAGAACCACGCTGTGTGTAGGTCCTCAGCAAAGCTGGGTCTCCATATCTCTAAGTATTGTCAGACATCTGAGCTAATGTCGGTGAATAGTTGCAGTGTCTCCATGAAGGCCAATCTGCCACTGCCTGCATTCTATTAATGCATTATAAAGACAAACTTAGCGGACAGTTGCTGAGTTCAGGAAGCAGCTTCAAGAGGAATTAATTGCTTTAGAGATTTCAGGCAGTGTATATTAGAAGAATAGCTGTTTACCATATTTCTAACTCCAAGTCAGAGCTCCTGGTGTCTGCCCATAGAAGTCCTGTCTCTATTGTGACTTGATTTTGTTTTCTGGAGCAGATTTTGACAAAATCTGTTTCTCACCATTACTTCATGTTCTTTGTTTAGTTTTGTTTCTCTCTCTTCTTGCTCCTAGTTCTACCCAGAACTTCAGCTTCATCTTCTGGTTCTAGCCTCTCAGCATTCCTGCTTCTCACAACATTTGTGATTAATCATTTCTTCTATTCATAGTGCATTAAAAACCAGGAGAAAAGACTCTGCTAAATTCCATATAGTTTGAGGATAAAGCTTACTTAGACCTTCGCACAATTCACTAGACACGTAGACAGGGTAAAGGGAAGAGCTGTAATCACTGCAGATGGAATGATGGTACATAACGGGCTTTACAGAGTGGGAGGAGCTTATATTTTGAGGGCTTCTTATACCTTAGCTGAAGCTGAGTGCGTATTTGGTAGGATGGCTACTGTCCTTAAACTTGAAGTTCATGTCTCAAAGCACTGAGATACTAATGCTTCTTCATGAAGTATTTTTAAGAACCTATTATCTTTAAAATAAAGAATGATGTCAGCTGACGCTGGTAATGAGGGGAGCAGATCAGATGCACATAATATGAGAACTGTGTACTTAAAGACTTGAAAGAAAATAGAAAATCATAGAAGCATGATTCTCTACATCTGGTAAAAAAAAAAAAAAAAAAGATAAAAAACCCCCAAACCAAGAACTCAGTAACAGTATTGTAAGCAAGGTACCAGCTGAAATCGAGTACTTACATAAGATGCATGAGTTACTCCTCACTGCAAAAGATAATGCAACTGGTTCTTTTTATTCCTGCTTACCAATAGAAGTTACTCCTTGGAAGTCTGGGAAGCTCAAGCTGTAGAAGGGAGCAGCTTAGTGTGCTGATGAAATCATCTGAGCAATAGCCTAACACAGCTGGAGGAAAGAAAGATGTCTCTAAACCATATTTTGTGGTGAGGAGCCTTGTGGGAAGGCAAAGTAAAATAATAGTCTTAGTCCCTCTTCTGATTTGCTAGCGAAAAAAAAAAAGTATTGTGCCACATCATCAGCTGCTGTTGATGCAGTGTCACAAGTCTGCAAAGAGATCCCTTCTTTTGTTAAAATTACTTTTTAAAAAATTTAAAGTACTTTTTCAGTGTTATCGGTTCATTTAAAAAAAAAAAAAAAAGGATCTTGCAAGTGTAAGACTTATAAAATATTTCAGAGGTCATGAGTTCATTTTGTGGTTTCTGTTACACTCAATCCCTTATCCAAAGGGTTTGTTCTTTGGAGGGAGGAGGAGGTTAAGAAACAGTAAAACAAAACAAAAAAAAACCAACCAACTGGCCAAAATCCTAACCTTGTAAAAGCTGAGGGAAAGCATGTGCTACACAAAGGGTCCTGATGAATATCTTCAAATGTGCGCTTTTTTTTTTTTTCCCACTTTTTGTATTTCCTGTTCTGCAGGAAACAAACATTCAGACTATATCGTGGTTTTCATATGTAGGGTTTTAAAATTCATAATAAGTTTCCAGCATGTTTGTGGTAGCTTGTGTACAAAGAGTATGAGCTTTTGTATGAAACGGGCAGGAATGACATGAGAGATAAACCAGTTTTGTGGGATGGATGGATATATTTTCCCCAGCTTTACAAGGGGATAAAGAAAAAGGTATTACTGTGTTATTTTGCTGGATTACAGTACTTAGGATATATGTGCAAAAATGGAGAAAAGGGGGGGGTGAGTTTATTGTTGAAGTAGAGAAGTTCTGGATTAGTTGTATGATTCATCAGAAAACTCTAGGGAAGCATTTTATTACACTTTTGGATTGGTAAAAGAATTGCATTATTTCTAAACCTATTGACAAGGAAAATTCTTCATCGAGAAAAGAAAATAACACAATAGTAAATTCTGTTTTGGCTTTGAGCTTCCTGAGGTTGATGATCTATTTGACCTTTCCAAGCTTTTTTCTGTAGCGTTGTGGACTGGAAATTATTAAAGAACCAAAATCACGCACGGTTTTAACATTTGGAATACAAACAAAAGCATCAGAAGTCATGAGCAACAGTAATGTTGTAGGAGCAGGCAACGTGGAATTAAAATTACAGCAATCACCTACTTATATGTAGGATACAGAATTGCAAAGGAGAGGTTGAAAGAGTAAAATTAAACCTAAATAGTGCCTTGTGAACTGTACTGCATGTAGTTAAGTAACTACCATGGTTTAATTAAACCTAAGTAATATCAAACAATGAGTTACTATTTTTTTTTAAAAGTAATTAGAATATATTCCTACTGATGAACCAGAAAAAGACACTTGAATTTATAACACCAGCCAGTGAAGTGTGACTGACTGCTACAAAATCAGTTGGTTTTGTATTGATTTGCTTTTTAAAGTGGAAGTCAAAGGATATAATGCACAGTTTTGGAAGATCTGTTATATAAACAGTTCAAAATAAAGCATATGCAAGAATTAAAGCTATTTTCTCTTAAAATAAAATTTGACCAAATTTAAATTTCATACCTGATAGCTTTGTGTAGTTTTCAACTTATGATTGTGTCCTGAATCCTTGTTAGTTATTAGAAGACTTGAAATCTCATCATTAAAAATCCATGATGGCAGAGTAAAAGAGCCTGTCCATCTGAGAACTGTAGCAAAGCTCTTCCTTTACAGCATATATACTTGCAGAAGATGATGCAGGGCCAGCCATGGTACATATTAAGACTCATTTCTTTTTTTGTTGCATGAGCTGTCTTGAATGTAAACAAGTCTACTTTGTCATCTTGGTCAAATCTGTGTGGTTGGATCATCTTCTAGCTTTGGTCTGAATTGTGGTAGGAGTTTCCTTACAAGGAGGATAATGAGAGGATTAAATTTAACATCATACTCATAAGACAGTTTGTTTCAAAGGCTAGGACAAATCTTTTAAGTAAGTTCACTCAAATGAACTTTTTTAAATAACATGTCTGAAGTTTTACCGTTGTTGTTAACTCATTCAGTTAATGAAAATTGTTATTGTTTTCAACTTTGGCTCTGAACTGAAGGCGTTAGAGAGAAGACTGTTCTAATATTTAGTGATTTTAGGTTTGCTAAGCTTGAACTTAAAATCTTTCTGTTTTGAAGTATCAAAGTTGTAGGCAAAATATTTCCAGAGTAGGCAGAGAATGTAAGCCCTGACAGCGAAGTGGTGTGATTTGTGAATGGCATTGATCCTCATGTAAGAAGGAAAAAATTGTACTGCTCAGCTTCCTTTCCTACATACAGCATTTTCCTTTGAAGGGCTTTGGAGTTTCTTTGGGCTTTATTTTTTTTTCCTTCTGCATTTTTTTTCTTCTCCAAAAACTTTAGTACCCCATATGAAGTCTAGAGAAAGCCTAAAATATCTGCACGTTGTTCACAGAAGCCCATTGGAAGTCCAGTAGCGCTAACTTATGCAGCTTAGTATCACTAAGAACTCTCTGGAATCATGAACTTTGCATAAAGTTCTTCAGCCAGGCCCTGGCTCCACTGTCAGACTTCTGAAGAAAAGCCTCAAGCTCAAAAGTCCAAAATCTTTACTTGGCAAATTGAAGAAAATCTATGTAGATAAGAATTGATGATGTTGATTTGTTGCTTTCAATGTCTGTACAGAAGAAAAGAGGATATGTGATTAAATATAAGAGGAAATTTAAATGCTGTAATTTGGCTCCCCATAAAGCCTGTGGGTTTCAGAAGAAAGAAACAACCTCAGACATGAATTATCCACATTGGGCTGCACTTCAAAGTCAGATTGTAGGCTCAGAAAGAAAATACAGATATAAAACTCTTTGCATCCTAATTCCTAGGTCTTAACTTGTTATCCACAAATGCTGTCAGCAGACCACTAGCAGCCTGCGTGACTGTTGTATGTGATCTGCAAAGTCACTTCTTGTTTGTGCTTGCTATTAACAATAGTAACAGATTGTCGGATTGTTGCAGAATCTGTTTATCCTCTATTTATCCTCTGCAAGAGCTGGCTGGAAAATGTGGGTACTGAAGCATGGAGCTCTCAGCTAATTAGAAAATCAGATTCTGAATTGCTCCATTTTGCAGGGCCTTCAGTCCAGTCAGAGCCTGCCAAGAGCACCAGGTAATAACAGCTCTTAAAGACTTCGTGCTGTTTGGTGGAAAGTCATCCTCTGAGCATCTCCCTGTGCAAATATGCATTTGTAAAGGTTACAGAAAAAGGGGGGTCATTGAATCGTATAAAGAATCTTGCAGAGCTGAGATGATTCTCAATCTACTGAGAGGAGAGCTGTTCAATATGTGAGGCCGTGGCTGCCCTTGACATGACCCTTACTGTGTGACCTCTACCTATTTCCCATTTTGTAGGTGATATTACACGATGAAAGCTCTGCAGCCCTTGACTTATGCAGTCTGTTTTACACAAATTTTTCTGTTTTCTAGGAACTACTATGAAGGATGTGTTGATCAAGAACAGTTCAATATAGAAAAACTAGAACTCAAAAACAATTCCTGAGATTTACTAGACTGAAGATGTTGCACATAATAACCTTCAGTCTGTCGCAGGAAGGGCATGCATTACTTTTGTAGGTGGGTTTTCTTTTCTATAGCAGGAGCGTTGAATTAGTCCTCATGAAGTTTCTGTTGCTACAATAGCAAGTAGTCAAACAATCAATGCAGGCAATAAAGAGTTTAAAATATTAAAAATATTCCTTTTTACCCCCAGACAGGTTGACGCTTCCTCCCAAGTTGGTGTCATCTGCAGACTTATTGAGGGTGCACTCAATCCCCTCATCCAGGTCAATCAATCCAGATATTAAGCTTTATGGGTAGAAGTCACATTTTCATACTTTTCCTAATATCTTAATTTACATCAATCTTTTTCATTAGCATTTGTTCACTTACAGTACAGGTTTAATGCATTTTTGTAAGGTACCTGAAATGTAGCTTCAGATTGTTCCCATGGTTGTCTTCAATCTGCAAACCATACGTACATAGCTTTCAAAAACCAGCTTTTTTTCTGTAGAGACTTTATGACAAAGATAAGGGGTAGTTTTCAAGATTATCTGCCAAGCAATTCCTGGATGATCAAACATAAGAAAATGTTTTGCACTGACAGCAATTTCCCTAATGTACAGATGATGGAAGATGCTTTCTCTTTACTCTGTTATTTATTCAATGACAAAGTCATTGTTTTTACAGTGACTGTTGAATAAATCTACTTGTATAGTACAAGAGCTTGTAATGCTAGTGCCATGACAGAACAGAATCTTGCATTGGATAAAACTCAATATACCTAGACCTGTATCCAGATTTCAATAGTAGTTGACAGCAAAGTTGCAGGAAAGAATATAAGAATGTGACAAGTAATGAGTTATGTTTCTGCAGTACATTTTCTCTGCAGCCGGAAACTGTGACTTGGAAACTTCCATAGAAACACTGAGTATTATTACATGTTGTCATTCATCTGCGCGTGTCCCTGGCATCTTCACTTATAAGGAAAAATATGATCTCTGTACTCTTCCTTCCAACCAGTTAATGCTCTGTTTTTCTGGATTTTCTTTATTTAACTCTGTTTTAAGGAAGATACTTTTCCATACAGCTATATTCTACCAGACGTGAAAGTACATTTGTTATTTTATTTATGGCAAGTAATCAGCCTGAAGTTATTCTACTTTGCCTGAGTAGTTCATGAGAAATGGCCTCTTCTTGGTAGAGCTGAGGCAGTGTCTCATAGCTGTTTCATCCCACCACTCTGTGGTAGGAAGCCTTCTCTTTCTTCTGTCGTTAGCTGTTCTGAGATTCTTGAAAGGACTTCTGACTACTTCTGGTGAGGACTTAAATACAGTTCACATATTCTTACAGTCAGCTGCTTGAAAAAAAACAACTCATTTCTTTACCTGTTCCAAACAAATATGCATGGTGGCCACTATTTCATTAGGGAGGCTGAGGTGATTTAGGCATTAGTTACAGATCTTCCATGGAAATCAAGTAAGTGTTCTTGTTACTGTTATGCTTCCAGCACCTGACTGTTGCCTTTCCCTATGGCTTTTCAGGAACAGGTATGATACGTGACAATATTTATAGCCAAAATATAAATATTCATAATGCTTTTTCTCTTAATAAATTTTAGCTGAGTTTTAGTCTGGTGATGGCATGAGGCCAGTGCTTTGATTGA